CTGTCAATTCAAATAAAGGCCACTATAGAGCCAATAAAACCTTTAAAAAAAGAAGTTCTTAAACCTTTGCAGAAGTTTTAGAAGCATAGATTTTATCTGGGCTCTTTATAAAAAAAATTACAAAAAAATGTTCCAATAAGTGGTTCCTCTTTCTAGATGCTGCTTTCATCAGTGTACAGCTCATTTTATAGAAGAGGTTTACCTTGAGATTTACCAGCTCCATCTGTAAAAAAAAATCAGAAACCAAGTCAGTCTGTGTTGTTCAACCCATAATACTCAGGTAAGAAAACATTGGCTTAATCAAAAAAATTATATTGCAGGAACTAAATTTCAATATAATCAGATAAAGGTCAAATGGTGACATGCTAAAAGTCATCCATTCTCTGAGCTCTCCAGCAGACAGACCACATCCTGGAGAATTATTGATCCAAGTAGACTCTTGGCAGCAAAGTAAAAGACAGGGGCTTAAAAGTTTCTCATCTCACTCTTCAATTTTAATCTTCAGCACTTAAATCCCTGCTCAGTCATCTCAGCAAAACTTAGCACTGCTACAGCTGATAGCATCAGAGCTAAAGAGCAGAAGACTAAACTGCACTAACATGTCCAATGTGCAGAACTGTGGTACAAACCAAACCAAAAGCACAGGAGCTTACCTTGGTCATCATAGCCAGGGTCCATTGCACGGCCTGGAAGCAGAAGAAGAAAAGTTAGTCAGTTTAGAGATTTTTAGCTTCTACATGAATGGAAGAAGCAAAAATGAAGCTGTTTTATATTTTCTTTTAGAAAACTAAAGTTTGCACTTTGCCTGGATCTATGACTACCTCACAATCAGACCACAGTTTGTGAGACTTAAGGACTGTGTGTCCAGCCAGGTGATCAGCAACGCAGGAGCATCTGTTGATCACCTGGGTCAGCAGGTGATCAGCAACTGTACTCCCAATGTTCCTTTTCACTCTCTACACTTCAGACTTCCACCACAAGTCTGACTTCTGTCATCTATAAAAATACTAAAATGACTGCAGTGTATCAAAGATGGACAAGAGGCTGAGCACAGAGATCTGGAGGACCGCTTTGTGTCATGGTGTGGAAACTATCATCTTAAACGTGAACAAAACAAAGAAGATGATTGTAAACTTCAGTAGAAACAGAATTAGATAAACCCTGTTTCCATCATGGGAGAAGAAGTGGAGGTGGTTGAGGAATATAAATGTCTTGGTGTTCATCTGGACAACAGACTGGACTGGAGATGCAACAGTGAAGCATCTATAATATAAGAAGGAACAGAGTAGACTGGACTTGTGGAGGAAGCTAAGCTCCTTCAAGGTTTGCAGCCAGATGCTGCAGATCTTCTGGAAGTCTGTTGTTGAGAGGATCATCTCTTCTGTCATCTGCTGGGGCAGCAGCACCAGAACCAGGAACCTAAAAATGCTCAACAGCCTAATAGAGAAGGATGGTTCTGTTCTGGTTCTATTCTGGTTTTATTTTAGGGATGACTGTGGATCCTGTGGAGAGGATTATACAAAGAAGGATTCTTCATAAAAAGTTATGAACAGCCCTGACCATCCTCTTCATCAGACTGTCTTAGGAAGGCAGAGTGTCTTCAGTCAGAGGCCTCATGTAGCTGTGACACAGACAGCTACAAGAGAACTGTCCTGCCAACAGCCATCATCATGTGCAATAACTCTTTGAAGACTTTGAATTAATAAGTTACAACAGCCCTGAGTCACAACTTTGACTTAATTAACTAGAAACTACTTATTTAGAAAGATATATCAAATGTTGTTCAACTTATATCACCCTAATCTCTTCAAAGATATTTGCTCATGTGCGAATAAAGGGCCGACTAGTAGCAATCAGTAGCAAGCAGAAAGAATATTCCATATTTCCTGGATGACACATCAGTTGTTGGCAAGAACTGCTAATCCACCTCATTTGCTTTGGCTGCTCCTCTTCAGACTAACCCTTTCCTCCCCCCCTCATAATTATGTTTGTTACAGAAAATCCAGTGAAGATGGCAGAAGTTTAAAGAAAAACAGGCTGTTAGCATGACGATTTGACACATGAAGATGAGTGAGTGAGAAATGGACCAAATGGACCAAATGGACCATGACTAATAATAACTAGAAAACTAGAAAAGGACTGGGTGTTTTTTTTTTTTTTTACTGATTGTGATGTAAATAGCAAGAAGCAAATTACAGTTTGTTACAGATTCCATTTGAAGGCAGATATACACTGAATAAAGACACAAACATTTTTTCTCACTGTGTGAAGTTAAATCAAATGTAAATGTATCATGTTCGAAATAAATTTCAAATTTCAAATTTCAAACCTAATCTGTCTTGTTTTGGGTTAAATGGAATTACCAAAATTATTTATATTTGCTAAATGCCAGAAAACTTGGCTCCTACATTTTTAATAATCCTGTTCACAACTTCCCTCAAATTCAAACGTTGACATACATTTAATCAGTGTCAGGGATAATTATTCCTTAAACTCTATGTACTCGGGTTCAACCTTTTGGGTTTCCTTCCACAAACCTCTGATAGGTTAACTGACACATTTGAGATAATTGAAGGAACACCTGTGGATGTATGTTAAGGCCTCACCTGAAAGACACTGCTTTCTTGTTTCACATGATAGAAAAGAAAATCAGCCAAGATATCAGGAAGGGAAGAGAATAAATATGTTTATGTCTCTTTATTCAGTTTATATGCAAGAGTCTGGTTTCAGTTGTGTCACTGCCACACATGTTGGTACCAAATCTCACAGAAATACTCACCTCTCACCTTAGACCGTCAGTCCACATGGTGAAACCAGACTGGAAGCATGAGATTCTGCTCTCCTCAAACCACAGCAGAACATCAACTATCAGCTTCTAAAGACGGTAGACATTCATGTGGTCCTACCTCCAGAGCGTCCTCCATCATCAGGCTTGTAACCATCTTTGCTAACATCCATCAGGTCAGAATCATCAAAACTTCCTCCTCCTGGAAGAAAAACAGAGCAGTTCAGGTCCATGTTTGAGTTCCCTCCCACATATCAGGACACATCCATGTTTCCAAGGCTCATATTGGTGTTTTAGTCTTTGCATTGTGTCAACTCAGCTTCACAGCTCTGGTTCTGGGCCTCAGTGAGTTGATAAAGCTGCTACACCAGCAGCTGGATCTACTGTCCACTCACCTCCACCGTTTGGATTGTACCCAGGGTTCTTTGGTTTCTCGGTGGGGCCTGCACACAGAGACCAAACGGTCATCAAGATCTGAATAAGCCAGCAATGACAGGAAGAGCCAAATATCTGCCCCACTGTGGAAGTGGATGGAGAATACTTCGATATTTTTATGACTGGATAAGTTGAGCCACTTCTCGTTTCTAGGAAACTGTGAAAAACCTTCATCATGTGACCACATAGAAGGAAGGCATTCTTTAATGAAGTGTGTGAAGGTAACAATCATGGATTTCTTAAAAACCGTTTTTAGCTCTAGAAAGTGAATTTAGTCTGTTTTAAGAATTGTGTTTAGACCAATTAAGATATTTTAAATTTTGCTTTATGTATCAATTGTGCTATAGTAGCTACAAAATGAAGAATATATATCTAGCTGTGGGCACAAATAAAGTTGAAATGGTACACTCTGAAAACAAAAGTGTTGACATCAAATGTAATAAAAAACAATCAGTGGAAGTTGCTTTAATTGACTGTTTTTCCTGTTGAAAGGTCCAGAACTGCAGACATCCACGAAGTAACGTGATTGGTCAATGGTTTAACACATAGCTGTTGAACTAAAACAACACAAGATAAAAATAAAATGTATTGAGAAAGAAGACATTTGTTTTAAGAGTGTACACATATCTTAAATATTAAATCAAGATTCTGCATGTGTGTGATTACAGAGAGGACATCATGTCTGTCAAGTTAGAGAAGGGAAGTCTATCACAGAAGGAAATGATTCTGGAACAAGGATTCAGTTCTAGCACTTTTATTCCAAATGTTAATGTTTGCTTGAGACAAGAAGAGCCAAACAACATGACAAGAACAAATTAATGTGATTTTGTATAGCAACTGTGACAAAGAGAACTGATTTTGTATATTAGTTGCCTTGATGTACAGTAGTGATCCTAAATGTGAAAAATTGTCCATTTATTCCCTCCCCCCGCCCCCTCCTAAGAATCTATAAATGTGGGAAAGCTCCAGGTGTGTAAGGATTTTCACATGGCCTACCTGGTTTGAGAGCGTCCTCCAGGTCAAACCCAAAGCCACCTGCAGCAGGACACACACCCATCAGGTCACTTTGCCAACATGTAAACAGGTAAACCTGGTTCCAGTTTAGCTTTCAGCTCTCTTCTCTACATGCTTTAAGTGCGGAGAATGAAACCTCAGCCTACCAGAATCTCCAGAACTTGGCTTTTTGGGAGCAGGTGTTGGATCTGTAAAAAAAAAACCTAATGTTAATAATGACATAATAAATGCCACGAGGTAATGAATCCATTGTTAGATGGGTGTTAGGAAAGTTTCTGGAAAGCAGATTTGTGTCTTACCTGGTCCAAAAGCATCGGAGAGGTCCAGCCCACCTGAGGACAGGAGAAGTATTAACATTGCAGGGATTTTTCTATTTGATCACACAACCTGTCTCACATGGAAACAGATTATCCCTGCAGCACAAAACGCCTTTCAGTCATACTGCAAAACACACACTTCATGCAACCTGAGCATACAGGTAAAACAAAGTCCAGTTTCAAACCTGTCTGATGACTTCAGGCTGTACTCTCAGTAAAACATGCTCAACAAACTCAGCCACTGCATAATTTGTTCCACATGTTCTACAGCGTTCAGGAAAATAAAACTACATCCAGCCATATTGGGTCATTCTTCTGTCCAATCAGAAACCTTGATTCACTGCTAACAAGATGAGTTCTCTACAGGATGACACGTCACACTTTGCAGCTACATGAAGTGCACGTGGTTTCATTTATGAAAGGGTAGTCATAGCAACCTGTGCGTGACAACATCTGGGTCATAACATGCAGAAGAGAGAAGCTGGCATCTCAGTGGTTTTCTTGCCTCACCACCCTTGCCTTGAACAAATGCCAGTCTGTGTCTGAGTATTCTGAAGTTTTACTTCTGTAGCTTCTCACACACAGCAAGTCACACTCACTGTCCAAAGTCATTTCACACTCTTTGATAGTCCTTTAGAAATCTGTGGAAACACTGAGGACACATAATCCTGAAAAACCTAGCCACAATGCAATTTGACACACTATTGACTGGAGTTTGCAACACAGCCAGACAATCTCATCCCTCAGAGTCTGTCATGTGCCTCGTCTGAATAAGTGACGTAGCTGCAAAGATCAATAGGAGAAGCTGACAAAGCTAAAAGCTGAATTCAATTTGATCCAAAACTAAAAACAATAACTTTTTGCCATGATTATGCATCAAAACAACTGAAAAAAAATCCTTTCAGCTGCACAGCATCCAAAACCAGAAGGAATAATTGTCCTAACATGCAATACCTCAACCAAACAATGATGAACAAATCAGACCTAATATAATAGAGCCACTCCAACACGCTGCCTCACCATCAGCAACACAACGTTAGACAGAACTGGTGTTTCCTGCAACAACGCTCTGGTTTAACGTTTCACTTCCTCTAGGAAGAATGCATAACCTTATCATAACAACAGAAACAGGAAGATAGATGTGGTCTGTTTGGGTTGCAATAATGCATCAACAGGCTGAGATGATGCATGCCAAGATACAAACCATCATTTCCAGATTGCTTCGGAGACTCTGGCTGCTGTTTGGGCTTTTCTGGTGTTGGGTCTAAAACAAATGAAAGTGCATATGCAGAGTTGATGATTCTGCTTCCAGTCATCTAAATTAGCAATGTGCTCAAACAGAAAGTTTCTCACCTGGTCCGAGAGCGTCTGAGAGATCAAATCCTGTATGACAAAGAGTACCATGGTTAGAGTTACACAGTGTTACACACATGTACATATACTGACATAAAATCAGATTAAACTTCTACAGTTTTAGTTATGATCACAAAAATTATTTCATTTGCTGAATGTCAGCCATTTTATTCCTTTTCGTTCCAGAAATGTCCATCCATTTCCTCTGTATTTGGTAGAATTGTCTTCAAACTCTCTGACTTCAGCTTCCAGAACCCTTTAACAACAGTAATTTGGGCCATTCCTCCTGACTGAACTATAGTGCCTTCCTATGACTGCTGTACATGAACCTATCAGAAGCTTACAAAGTCATGACATCAGCACGTGTCAACTAACCAGTTAGGAGCTGACGCAGCACTGTTAGTGTGTGTAACCTTCTGGCATTTAGCCCCTTCAGGTCCTTTGAAGATAAAGTAAAAAGAAAAGGTTTAGTTTGCTATATCAGACTGTGAGAAGAACTCGGATCTATCTATAAAAAAAATCTATAATGATAGATTTATTTGGTGGTTCCCATGGCAGCAGTGACTGACGTGCAAAGCAGCTTTAAATAGCATGAGTCATCAGAGAGGGTTCTGCTAGGCTTTCTGGGCGCAAACTATTTAAAGCTGGAGCTTTGGATACAAAGAGCTGACTCTCCCTGACCAACAGCAAGGGAAACGCTTCTGAAGTGTAAAAACACTTTCAACTCAACTCAAGCTACTCTATTATGATTGAATAGCTAGTAGCAAAGATAAAACATTAAAATCAGGAATTCTAACCTGAACCAGGGTTATGATAGTTTGGTACTTTTCATTATAGTTTTGTTTTATTGCATCCTGACTTTTTGTTTGTCTGACTCAGCTAATTTCAATTAGCTTTTACAGTATGTTTGCAAGTTTTTATTAGTTGTTAAATATTGTTTAGTTTTATAGTTTTAGTTTAGTTTGCATTAGTGATAGTAGTAGTAGTAGTTTGGTAATTTTTGGTGCAGAATTCAAAAGGGTTAAAGTATTATATTGTATTATATTATATTATATATATTATATATATTATAGTGTGATTATGTAGATATTGATTGGGTAATAATGCTCAGCAGAAGATACCATTTTCAAAAAATCTATTCAATTATTGTTGAACAACTGATGGTGTTTTATCCCACCATCAGTTGGGTGGGACTGTTCTGGTAAAGAGCTGCCAGAACATTTATGGAGTACCGTAATTTGCCGACAGCTGATGTAAACTTGTTGTGAGGAAAAAGAAACTATTTCACATCAGTTCGAAAGGCAGAGATCCACAAAAATGAAAATAAAGATATTATACATATAATTTAAGTCTGTATTAGATTAATAGTTCCAGTTACTCATAGTTTTCCACATTATTTACCATTTTTATTCATTTCAGTTACTGAAAATATTTCTCCATTTCAGTCTTTCTTATTTTGTTAGACATAGCTAACTATGCTAACATTGACCTGAACACTGTAGTAAATGGACACAGGATGAATTAAAACAACTTTTCATCTGTTGGACATTTTCTATGCATCTATCTAGTTCTATCCAGAACATCTATGGTACTTTCATGGTCATTGATGTCACCATCTTCAAGATTATGATCCATTTGAACCTTAGAGGTCATTGGTTGTTGATGAGTTGAATATCCTAACAAATAAAACTTGCCTGAAGACACACTTCATATCTGCGTCAGTAATTGTCAACATTAAGTTAAATTTTCAGCTCCAGCAGTGAACGAACCTTACCGACTTAGATCATGTCTGTGGGTAACTGTGTCAACCTCATCCTGCCACACTGTGCAGGAAACTCATGGAGAGGAGAAAGCGTATTGCAAAACTTATCCATCAAATCCCCAGATCCACAACATGACATTTTCAGTATGCCAACAGCTCAGTGGAACCATGCTTATTTGTGGATACAAATCCACAAATAAGCATAGACACAGGGATCTTTCTGTGAAATTTAACTCCAAATTATTCCTCAAAAGTATGCATCTCAAATAGGTATGGGCAATGCTACTTGACACCTTATTGGCTAGTGCTTATATAGTAGTCATTCATTTCCCTTGCACTGATTGGCTGTTCACATGCAATTTATAAAAAACCAGAACCTGCCAGTGTTTTCTCATTAAATTAGAATTACATATTTCATACAAAACATGGCAGAACCCCAAAGGTAAGCCAGTTCTACATTTTATATTTTGACTGTTTCTTCTTTCCTCTGTTCTGTGGTAGGTGAATGCCAACACATCATGGATGGATGGAAGAAATGGTTCCATTAAAATTACAGTGACTTTGCCTAAAACTCTGTCAGAGTTCAACATGTTATCTGACTAACTTCAAGCAGACCAAACATCAGCTGGATGTTTCATAACTCAGCATGGTCTCAGCTGAAGAATATCCTTTTCACAGGAGAGCACCATTTTTCCTTCACTGGTCATGGTTAAGTTTCCAAACAGAACTTGTAACTTCTGTTCGTAGCAGCTCTGGACAGACAACATGATCACTGAAGCCTCATATTCATTCAAACTTTAAGAACAGCGGGTCTGAATCCAGGCTGCAGGTGGTTCTAATCATACACATGATTAGACGCCTCATTGAACGTTGAGTCATTACCATCTTCAATGTGCAGTGGCGTGATCAGAGGTCCCAATTCATGTGCTGTGTGGCCTTGTTTCAACCGTTTTACAGTACCAACCACATCCACTGGCATTACCTTTCACAGGTAAGGATGAAAGAAAATAATGGAATTTTACAAGCAGAATTTCTTGATCTTGTGGACAGAAACTAGCTTCTAACCAACCAGGAAATATTTCCAATATGACTAAATTGCCCAGAAGTGTCTCCTCTCACACATTGTTTAAACTGTTTGTAGCAGAGTTAGAATATCATACTGTAACAAAAGCTGTTTTCCTGAAAATAGTAAGAAAAATATGTAGCTGATTTATCAAAGTTCATTGTCTTTACAATAAAATTCCCTCCAAAAATTAATTTGTTGAAATGACAAATGCACATAGAATTGTGGAGTTGTGTAAATATGTTAATGAATACACCCCTCAAGGTGTGTGTGTTCTTCAATGTCAATATAAAAACAACGTATCAGAATCAGTGGTATCAAATGTAAACATGCTCTGTATTCAGAAAGCCCCAAAAACAACTAAATAATTGCATGAAAATGCTAGAAACACTCCCGTTAGTGCTTTCTTTGATTCCCCAGTAAATTAGGGTGTGTGAGAAAATGTGTCACTGACAGGTATCAATGTAAAATACTTTGTCGAACGGCGCTTTATCAAGTTCAGTCAACTTACTTGTATTAGCTTACTGGCAGATACACCATATCCAAAATGGCGAACGCTGAGTCATATCACAGCATGGGCCAGCCTGCTCAATGAGCTGTTTACATTTTCATGTCTATGGTTCTAATTGTCTTCAGCATTTAGAAGATGGGCTCTAAGACTTCATAAGAACCAGTAACCCAGGTATAGAGCGGGCCATGCCAGGGTGAACCCTAACAGATCCTTTTTTAAGTAGGATCTGCTTGGATTTGTTCTGCTTTTGGTGAACAGTTTTTGGGATTTGTATGGTGCTTTCAGCACACAAGCATGGCTAAAGTATCTGATCTAAACATAAATATTCTGCTTGAATGAAATTTGGAAAGTTTTTGCACACTGACTGATAAAGATTTTAAAGCATACAACAGCAGTAACAAAGTATTTATTTATACGCTGATAATGACGTTATATTTTTGTTTGTATTTTGCTTCTAGGCAGCAAAACTAGGTTTTTGATAGCTTCATCATTTAATTAAGTTTCATTGTGGTCATGTACAGCAAAACATGACTTCCTGTTTAATGTAAATTAAATAATGTCACATTTGTGACATGTTAAGACAAAAGTGCAAGTCCTGTGTTCAATGATGCATTTAATGGAACAGAATCTCCTACATTATATTTAATTATTCACATGATCACAGAGCCTGCTTTGATCCTGGTCTTTAGATTGTATTGCAGATGAAGGTGTGGCAGCGTGACCGGAGTCTGGGGACGCTTGAACACATCTTCCAGATGTTCTACTGAATAAATTCAATTCAAAATCAAAAATACTTTATTTAACTGAAAGAGAAATTAAAGGCAGGTGCTTTGTTTCCACAGACTGCCCACATGTTTGAATGGTTGGGTGTTGTTGTTGCGCAACACCCCCCCCTTCTCTCT